TATATAACCCTAACTGGTAAAATTACAGAAAAAAATACAAATAGAAATGAATAATCTATATTATTCTTAAATCTAGGGGCGGGGCTTATCCCAGCTACCACAGGGGGCGGGGACTGTGCCAAAGAGACCGTGCTGCTTGAAATATGAAATAAATATTAAATGCCTGTGAAATTTTAGTCTTGCATTACTAAAAATATACTTAGTATTATTTTATATTATTTTAGTTATAACTTAAAAAAGAAGTTTGTTAGACTATAAATGTTGAAATATAACTTAAGTTTACTATAAAAATATCAATAAGCAGTAAAAAGGTTAATTTAGGAACCTTTTTGATCAGATTTTGGTTTTGAAGAGAAACAAAGGTGCAGGCAGGCACTCTGTACTGCAGTTAACTTTAAAATCAGCTGTTGTTGATTACGGGACATTTTACAAGGATACAGTGTGGAGGGGAAAACTATTTTTGAATAGCCAGGGAGTAAAATGTACCATTTATAGTCTGTAATGGATGAAGGATGGCAAAGGAACCTCACAAGACCAACCGGTGTTCAGATTCGGATAATCTCTGTGAACATGGGAACTTTATAAAATTGTTTTAGAAGCTCCAATAATAAATTCTGAGAGAGGACAAAGGAGCATTTACACTCTGCAGCAGGCACATATACACATGTATACATGTATGAAGTTCAGAGAACAACGCTGTTCTGGGAGGTGCTGAATAATAAGTGACTGCTGAGATGAAAACAGGTCTCTGGAAAGCTTTTAATGCTTCTCTCTTCATTGTGTTGCCCCTCCATCTTTGTTTCATCTGGCCAAAAATCTGCTTCAAAGCTGTGTGGGCTCTGTTGTAGGTGTAGTCTGACCTTCCTGTTTCTGAACGTATCCAGTAATTTGCACCTTGTTATAAACACTCCATAAATGCATGAACTGTTAATGTATGCTATGCTATGTCTTCTGATCATACTGCCTAAGGGAAGCATCTTTAACCACCGAGGACCTGGCGTCTACATATTTGGACATCCCATTTTGGGTTGTCTAGATCAAAATACTAAATTTTGCTCTACAAGGGCCTGATATCCTCTGCTCAGAAACGACATCAGGTAAAAAGATAATTCTTTGTTTTTATATTCATCAGGTTGCAATCAGCCCAAATAGCAAAGAGAAATTAAGAATGCATGCTATGAATGAGTTCGGGTCTTAGGAGGATAATGTAAACAGAATTGGTCCTAGCACTGAACCCTGTGGAACTCCATAATTAACCTCAGTGTGTGAAGAGGACTCTCCATTTACATGCACAAACTGGAGTCTATTAAATAGATATGATACAAACCACTGCAGCACAGTACCTGTAATACCTACAGCATGTTCTAATCGC